ATAGTCGATGATGCATTTAATAGTGACGTATTTAATCCTAGTATTACGAGCTGCTTCGCTGGTAGTTTATCAGGCGAGCCATGCTCCGCAGCCGTGGAGCAGTTTGATGACCTTGACGGTGCACGAGCTATGGTCCGTGAGCCTATGGCCTATGGTCCGTGAGCGCTTCCCTCTCGGTGGGGGCAGCCCGTGACCGCGTGGTGAGTGGTCGTCTCGCCGCAGACTGCACCAAGCTGAAGTACCAGCTGACGACGAGCGGCAGTCAGCTGGCTGAGACCGAGCGGCAGTGCCGTCACCTGCAGCAGCGCGAGGCCGATCTGCAGGAGTCGCTGACCGCCAAGGTAGGTGGGGGTGGCCCGGTATGTGCCGATGACTCGCTCCCAGCGGCCTCCTCAGGGCTCAGGCACGTGGCCGGAGCGCCCCAGGGGATGGGCTTCTCGCGTCCGCGGACCACCGCCAGTCCCAGCGGACCCCTCAGGGGCCAGGCACGTGGCCGTAGCGCCCCAGGGGATGGGCTTCTCGCGTCCGCGGACCACCGCCAGTCCCAGCGGACCCCTCAGGGGCCAGGCACGTGGCCGTAGCGCCCCAGGGGATGGGCTTCTCGCGTCCGCGGACCACCGCCAGTCCCGGCGCACCCCTCAGGGCTGAGGCACGTGGCCGTAGCGCCCCAGGGGATGGGCTTCTCGCGTCCGCGGACCACCGCCAGTCCCGGCACACCCGTCAGGGGTCAGGCACGTGGCCGTAGCGCCCCAGGGGATGGGCTTCTCGCGTCCGCGGACCACGGCCAGTCCCAGCGGACCCCTCGGCCAGCGTGCCGGCACCACGCTGTTGAGTCTGTCAATGTCTTGTATCCTCCGAGCCTGTAGAGGTAATGTTTCCAGTGTCTTGTATCATCCGAGTGTGTATGGGTAATGTTTCGATTTCATTACTGCCCATCATCTCGCGCCAGTAATTCCTTCACGGGGTATTGACAGTATGGTCACTCAACGCGAGATAGGTAAAATTTGATTGCGAGTCTTTGTGGTCCTCGTTGTGACGAAAAGGATTAAACGTGGGGCTGTAATCCACTGTTGGGGGAGTAGTGGGATATCATTTGTGCTGCAAGTGGCTGTGTTTACATTCCAGTTTGAATTGCAGTCCTTTGTGGACCAGTTACCTTACTTTTTTGAATGCCTTGAAATGGGCGGTGAAGCATGCATCCCTAGTATTCTCATCAGGGTGTTTGCGTAACCCACTGACCTAACCCGCACGGCGGCCCGAAACGTGTGATAAGTAAATGTAACTGAACTCAAATCGTGTTTTGTTCCTGTTGATGCTTGTGCGTCCGGCCAGTAACGAGTTGATGGCAGATGCTAATACCCGGCGATGATAATGATGCTCGAGCCCCAAGCATAATTAGGTCGAACAGTTGAACAGAGCAGTCGAAGCGCACACGCTGATGTTCTTGTCAGTACTACCTCCGATCAGAGGGGGTTGCCGCAGGCGAAGCTGGCTATTATGGAGGTGCTGGGGAGGGCTGTCGCATTGGTTTGAGGTGTTTGAGGCCCCACACTAGAACGGAAAAGACGCAAACAAGTCATGTGTGGGATGATTTATCATCGTCTCTGGGATAGGCATCACGATTATGTGCAGCTGTAGCTCGGTGCATATTAAGGTATATAGATGCATTGTGATACAAATCCCATCAGATTTTCCATAGCACCATACTCTGCCATGATAAACAAATTATTGCAACAATGTGACTTGTAATCTTCGTTACGATGAATGTTATAAGATGCCACTGGTGCATTGCCAGTGCCCTTAAAATGACTAATTCGTTTTCCACCATGAGTCTCCATGTGTGCGCAACCAGCGTATTTGCCTGATGCTAGCGCTGCTGAGCTGGGGTGTGGTGCGCGCGCCGGTGGGCAGTGTGCGCGGAGCCGTGACCTGGATGATGCTGTCACCAGGACGGCCAGCTGGCGGTGCTGAAGGTGCGGCTGGACGAGGCCGACGAGGAGCTGCGCAGCCGACAGGCCGCCGTCGACCGGCTGCAGCTGGAGAACGACAGGTGAGCCGGCCGTTGTCCGACACCGCCGTCCCCGCCACACTGTCAACCCTGCTACACTGCCGACCCTGCCACACTGTCAACCCTGCTACACTGCCGACCCAGCCACGCTGTCAACCCTGCCACACTGCCGACCCAGCCACACTGTCAACCCTGCCACACTGTCAACCCTGCCACACCGCCGACCCCGCCACACTGTCAATCCTGCCACACCGCCGACCCCACCACACTATCAACTCTTCCACACTGCCGGCCCAGCCACACTGTCAACCCTGCCACACTGCCGACCCAGCCACACTGTCAACCCTGCCACACTGCCGACCCAGCCACACTGTCAACCCTGCCACACTGCCGACCCAGCCACACTGTCAACCCTGCCACACTGCCGACCCAGCCACACTCAACCCTGTAACACTGCCGACCCAGCCACACTGTCAATCCAGCCACACTGTCAACGCTGTCACACTGTCAACCCTGCCACACTGTCAACCCCGCCACACTCAACCCTGCCACACCGCCGACCCCGCCACACTGTCAACCCTGCCACGCTGCCGACCCCGCCACACTGTCAACCCTGCCACAGTGCCGACCCCGCCACACTTTCAACTCTGCCACAGTGCCGACCCCGCCACACTGTCAACCCTCCTACACTGTCAACCCCACCACACTGTCAACCCTGCTACACTGCCAACCCCGCCACACTGTCAACCCTGCCACAGTGCCAGCCTCGCCACACTGTCAACCTTATCTCACTCTCAACCCCACCACACCGCCGACCCCGCCACACTGCCAACCCCGCCACACTGCCAGCCTCGCCACGCTGCCAACCCTGCCTCACTGTCAACCCTCCCTCACTGCCAACCCCGCCACACTGCCAACCCTGCCACACTGTCAACCCCTGCTACACTGCCAACCCCGCCACACTGTCAACCCTGCCACACTGCCAACCCCCGCTACACTGCCAACCCCGCCACACTGTCTGCCCCGCCACACTGCCAACGCTGCCATGACACGACTATGATCAGAATCCTACAGCACTGTGACCTGGCCTGACCTGACCTGGCAGGATCCTGCAGTCATCGAGCGACACGTCTGGCCTGCAGTCAGGCACCATCCAGGGCCTGCAGGACCGGCTGCAGGAGGCCGAGACCCGCACCCGGCAGGAGCAGCAGGCGCTGGCCACAGCCCAGCAGGAGCACGAGCGCAGGTCAGAGAGTTCGCCTTGCCCATCCAACCCAACCCAATCCTACTCCACCCCACCCCACCCCACCCCACGCCACGCCACTCAAGCCCACGCCACCGAATGCGTGTGCTCAGGCCACATCAGATCAGCTGGCGGCCAGGGTGATAAGGGGCATGCTGCCTTCTGTCGGGCAGTAACTTAATCGCGTTAAGCAAGAAGCCATGCGCAACGGAAGACTGGGAGTCAGCAAACAGTGGGCGGTGAGGACCAACCTTCCATGTGGTCTCCACTTACGTCAAATATCAGTGAGAATATCAGTCCAGCATGTCGCATGTCATGCTGCAGTCTCTGGCACACTTATTGCCACATTATACACCAGTGTAAGAAGACTGTGTAACCGCAGGCCGTATAAACGATTCCCGTTACACCCAAAAGAAGGAATTTGCATCCATTGAATCCTTGCAAAGGTTCTCAGAGTCCCTGGTCTCGTTCCGCTCGTGTTGGCGGCCGTCGGCGCGGCCTGTCGGGCGGCCCGGATCAGGTTCGGTCGGAGGTGATACCAGCAGAGGCGTCACCTGCCATGTGAGACGGACATCGTTTCCGTGTCCGGGATCAGGTTCGGTCGGAGGTGATACCAGCAGAGGCGTCACCTGCCATGTGAGACGGACATCGCTTCCGTGTCCGGGATCAGGTCCGGTTCGGAATGATGGAAATAGAGGTGTCACCTGCCACGGGAAACGGACGCCGGACACCGTGTCCAGCTTAGGCCGGGTCCTAGATGATAGTAGCAGAGGTGTCACCTGCCACGGGAGACGAACACCGTTACCGCGTCCGTCGTCAGGCCGGGTCCAGGATGACAGCAGCCGAGGTGTCTCCTGCCATGGGAGACGGACACCGTTACCGTGTCCGGGATCAGGTCGCTCAAGGCCGCCACTCTGGAAAACAACGGCCGCGTTTTATTGCGGCATTTTTCTCGGTGCTGAAAAGAATCGTGCACAATGACTGCACGTCAGGCCGCCGGGGCGACCGCGGTCGACAGGAAAAAGGCGCCACAGGTGCAGTCAGGGCCGGCCGTCGCCAGGAAAGGACGGCGGGCGCGAGGGTCGCGTCCGGCTGGCGGGCGCCGCCGTCTGGTCCGTGCTGTCGCCGGAATGTCTGCGAAACGGTTGATGTGGACTTCGGGTCGCATCACTGTGTCACCTGCCATTCTGGTTTGGTGGCTGGTCACTTCGTGCCCCGGGATATTTTTATGACAAGACGTGTGTCAATATCAGCACTC